TGGTTCTTTATGATTAAATAAATAAACGACACCAACCTGATTGCAGGATTAAAAATATATATATATATATATATATATATTAATAAGTTTTTTAAAACATTTATAAAAAATAATAATAATAAAAACTTAAAACAAAAAGTATTAATAATATAAAAAGAGATTAAAAATAAAAAAATAAATGAAAATATAAAAAGAATTAAGATTTTATTTAAATAAGTTATAGTGATAATTTATAAGTTAAAATTTTTTAATTTTTATTTTTCTAATAAAAAAAAAACATTTTTATTTATTTTTAAAATTATACTTAAAACAATTTTTAAGATAAGTATTCAAGTCTATAAAATAATTTATATATTTAATATAATATTTAACATAATATTTATTTTTTATTTTTTACAAAAGAATTTAATAAATAGTATAAACTTGTTTAATTACAAGTTACAAATAAAAAAAAATTATTATAAAATAATAATATTTATTTAAATAGATAATTATAACAAATCAATAAAAATTATAAATAAAAGATAAAATTGTAAATTTTTTTGTAACATATTGTACTGTATATACTGTTAATGTTTGAAAATACAAAAAACAAAATTCTTTAATAATAGAAATTTTAATAAAATCAATTTTTTAAACTATGAAATTTGTTTCATATTCAAATAATTGTTTGATTGAAATTTTTTTGTTACATTTTAAATATTGATGCTTATGTAATTTGATGTTTAATAAGATACCTTAACTATAAAAAAAAAAAATAATAAATAAATAATAAAGATCTGATTTGATTGTGCACAATATGCAAAGCGAATAAAAATAAAAATAATAATAATGGTAAAGCATAAGTACATGGTCTTAATATAAGAATCACTATTATTGTTCTAGCTTTCCTGAGGAACTCCACTCGCCACTTTTTCCGCCGGTTTTATGAATCACTCTCAAATTATCAATTACCATATCTTTATCAACGGATTTACACATATCAAAGATGGTTAACGCTGATACGCTAACCGCGGTCAGCGCCTCCATTTCAACACCAGTTTTACCCTCGCATTCAACTTTCGCCGTTATTTCAACAGAATAATCTCGTTCCTCCATCCTCAAATCAACTGATACGTGAGAAAGCAAGAGAGGATGACAAAGGGGAATAAGGTATCCTGTATGTTTAGCAGCATTGATCCCAGCGATCTGAGAGACAGTTAGCACATCACCCTTCTTCAGCGAATTGGCAAGAACAAGGTTAAATGCTTCGCGACCAATCCGAATCCTTCCGCATGCCGTTGCCGTACGGATGGTCGAGGGTTTTTTCGATACATTTACCATTGATGCACGCCCACTCGAAGAGTCGACATGTGAGAGGGTAGGAGAATTGGTGGTATTTGTATCGGGTGGTCGCATAGTGTCAGAAGAACCAGATTTTTTGGAATAAGAAGCATGAGTATAACCGAAGGGCGATGAGATTAATTGGTTGAAGGCAAGAGGTCTATGGTACATATGAGAGCTTGAGGAGATAGAATGGATTTTCTGAGAGTTGAACCAACGTTTCGATACTTCTAACAAATCTGCTCCATCGAATCGATGCATAAAATAAGTAAACATTCAACATCTATACATTGGTGGAAGATCAATGAGTTAATTTAAATAAATCTCAAAATATTAGATGTGCTAGTGTAAACCTGCAACTTACTCGGCTCTTCACGTTAAACAAATTAAGACCAAAATTTAGATGCTTTACGTTTCCTTTATCCACCGATAAGAATCATCGGCCTGTTTTTAGTTTCTGCCAGCGTGAACATACCTGCGTGCTGTTTCTTTTTGTTTTTGACCGCTGCTCCGATTATGTCCAGTAATTGTTGATCGGGAATGTTTTCTCGTAGCAGGTCACGCAGATTGACCTCAGCGTTACCGAATAAACATACCTATTGCGTTCATGTGATTAATTACCAACATTAACTACCTATTTAAACGATATCCTAGATTCAAACCTTCAAATTTCCATCTGCTGTAATCCTGAGTCTATTGCAACTTCCGCAAAAATGATCGGACATCGATGTAATAAATCCAAATCGACCTACAAATTCTGGTATGTGATAGGCCTATTGTATTTATAGAAGAGGTTAATTAAGAATATAAGTACAAAATACATCTAAGAAAAAGCAGCGAGACCAACCTTTGAGGTGTCGTTTGAATCGTCGAAAAGTTTCGTGACACTATGGTACTTATTACGAATATTGTCCAAAAGCTCCTTGTACGGAACAAACTTCTTTTCATTCCATTTGTTACCTGGTCACACAAGGTGTAGTACCATGATACTCGGGTTAATGCAGATCATCGAAAAATTACCGACTCCTGAAAATTAACACGATTTTCGACAAATACCATCAAAAGGCATATACTCTATAAATCTCACATCAATCGCCATGGTACGTGTTAATTCCACAAAATCTACTACTTCTTGATCATTCACCCCTCTCATCACCACGCAATTGACTTTCACTGGCTTAATACCCAACGAGATAGCTTGCTCAATAGATTCCATCACACGTTCGAAACCTGAAATGTTCTAGCGAATAAGTAAACAAGAATCAGTATGCCTAAGAATTATCTCGTCAAATGTACCTTTACGGCGCGTAATTAACTCAAATTTAAAGGGATCCAAGGTGTCCAGGCTAATATTCAATGAACTTAAGCCATTCTCCGCAAGTCTTGGCAATTTTCGTTTTAGGGCAATGCCATTGGATGTAATTGCTAATGTTTGAAGACCCTGTGACTTTAATTTCCCCAATTCACCTGTTTAACACAACTCATTGTTATAATTATTAGGTTTCTAAAATAATCAAGTTAAACGATGATTGATCTTACCAACTAAACTAATAATGTCACTCCTCACCGTAGGTTCCCCACCGGTCAATCTAATCTTATTAACTCCCTGAGATACAAATAGCCTT